ATATAGTATTTGAACTCCGAACACATGCGAAATGTCCCCAGCGCAAAAATATGTAAAATTCGACAGGAAATGACGACTATTTCTTACAATGTTTACTTCTAAACTCCCGAGAGTTTGTGGGCATTCCGTCTTTGAAGTCCATTCCTGATCGTCATTTCCTACTGCAGAAACCGGGGGTACCAAAAATGAAAAGCTGAGCTTCGAAATTTATCCCCCCCGTAGTACTCTGCTTCTTCTATGTGCGGCTAGCTCAGACGAGCGTGGCTAGACACTGGGAACCCAGACTGGTTGCTGGCGATCCGTCTAACTAAGAACAGACAAATGGCAGCAAGTCCCCGTCATCAGGATAACCCGCCCGTCGTGTGGTCGCTTCCGTCAAGATAGACCATTGGTGGCCTGCGCATGAATTGCGTAACAAGATTTGCAAGCAATGTTCCTCTCTACCTCACGTCCGCCGTCAGCCAAAGGTAAAAAAGAGCAGCCTAATTATAAAACGCTTTACTGGAACTAGTCTTCCTAAAAGTAAATGCGCTACTGTTGTGGTCGGAAGAAGCAAGGGCCGTATTAATCCATGGCAGGCGTTAGTCAGTTTTCCCAAGTTTGCTTGCGTCGCTTGGTATTATCGCGCATGTATGCGGCGCACCTCAGACGACCGGTCATTCAAAATTGGCTGATGTACCCTATTTAATTGCCAGACGGTTAAAAATTTTCCGATGCATTGGATAGAGAAAATAAAGCAAAGTCGATCACCGTGATCTAGAAGACGTTGTTTAGAGGACTTCCCACTGAATTGGTACCAGAAATTCAGATGAAGAAAACGGGGTACCCGTTCGCCTAGTTGTCAACCCGTTCACAGAGGACGGATTTCGGAACGGCACTCTGCGAAAGTTATTTGCGAAATAAGCAGGTTTTCGGGTTTGTCAAATAGGCTGTTGCAGCCTAGCAGCGACAATGCTGTCAGGGCGCGGGCTCTTGGTCTTGGGTGCTAGATGTGCGAACGTTGTTGAGTCCTGGGTATATGACGTACGAATCGCCTAATCCGGTGCCCAGGAGTCAACGCACACTTTATCCTATGCCACAGTGCCCGAAGCTACTCAATTTGTAGGTATGGTGTGACGGTCACCCGCTCGCAA